AAGCACTGGGAGGGATTGCAGGATTTTTGAGTTCTGTGTTTCAGGGGAGAAAGAGGAAGTATGGGGGGCGGGTAGATACAAGGCAGAATTCAGACCAGTGTTCTTCAAAGTGTGGTCTGTGGATCTCTTTTGCATCTGAATCACTGGCTATTAAAAATGCAGATTCCTGGGGTCTGCTTCAGTCCTGAGTCAGAAACTTCCCAAGTGGTTCTTATGAATGGTCAGGTCTGCAAGTCTCATGAAGGAGTGGAAAGCCTCCAGGGATATTAATGACATTGATTAATGAGGTACATAGACAACTCAAAACATCATTTCAGCCCATAGTTTCTCGACCCACGCAAGAAAATCTTTCACTTTAGCATTAGGCTAGGTAAAGCTTGAATGTTTACACTTTATCCATCTACATGTGGTGATGCAAATAGAAAAATTTCTGGCTGGAAGGCCAGAAGTCAGACAAGACTCACCATTTTTACATATAAATCATCCCCTAGATCATCAAAGGTTGATGTCTTAGTTCCAACTCCCTGGTCTCAGGTGTTGTAAATGCTGACTTACAGTCCCTTTATCTCCTGATAACGAAGGTGAACATAAGTGATCTCCAGAAATGGTTTACACGTGGCTCCCAGGTTCTTGAAAAACCACAAGTGATTGGCAAATGTTTCTGTTGCAGACACAAACTCAAACAAACAGCTCATTTCCTTCAAGAGCTCCCCGCAGCAGCGGCCGTGAGCCTGAAGGCAGTAAGGAGGGAAGAAGTCTCCCTCTCCCATCCCCCACACCTTCTTCCCCTTTCCCAAGTCAGAGTTTTCTAACACTAAGGAGTCCAGATGGGGAGAAAGAAGCTATTGATAAAGAATTTCAGGAAGGAGGCCTCCCCCACCCCCAACCTTGCCCTGCTCAAGGCTACTGCCCTCTCAGGTTAGTTACAGACCTTCCAATTTATTCTTTTATTCATTTCAGGAAGCCTGTGGGGCACAGGCTCTGAATCACACTGTCTTGTAAGGCCTACATTGCCTTGAACTTCATTCAGTGTCCTTTGGGGAAATGCAGAGTTAGGTCCTGTCCACAGAAGAGTCTCAGAGGATTCCGATAGATTTTGATTATAGGCAGCCTGGGTAACTCTGGAACAGATGTAGTGGCTCACACTTTTTTTTGATAGCAGATTTATTGAGAGATATTTCACATACTACACAATTCACCCATTGAAAGTATATAATTCAGTGGTTTTTAGCATATTCAATGTTTTTAGTATTTGTATCACTCCTAAAAAACCCCCCAAACCTGTTTAGCAGTCACTCCACATTTCCTCCTTCTTAGCCCCACTCCCACCCCAAGCAACAGCTAATCTACTTTCTGTCTGTATAGATTTTCCTATTCTTGACAGTTCATACATGGAATTATACACATGTGGTGCTTTGCGACTAGCTTCTTTCACTTAGTATAATCTTGTCAAAATTCATCTATGTTGTAGTATATACCAATACTTCATTCCTTTTTATGACTGAACAGCATTCCATTGTATGGATATACATTTTGTTTATCAGCTGATGGACACTGGGTTGTTTCTACCTTTTGGCTATTATGAATAATGCTGCGATAAACATTTGTGTACAAGATTTTGTGTGGATAGATGTTTTCATTTCTCTTGGGCAGATATCTAGGAGTGGAATTGCTGGGTCATATGGTAACTATATGTAACCTTTTCAGGAACTGCTAGACTGTTTTCCAAAGTGGCTGCACTATTTTACATTCACTAGTGCTGCGTGAACCTTCTTATTTCTTTACATCCTTGTTAACACTTATTATTACGTATTTTTGATTTTAGCCATTCTAATGGGTATGAAGTATTTCATTGTTTTTTTGATTTGCATTTCTATGGAGGCTAATAATGTTAAGTATCTTTTCATGTGTTTATTGGTCATTTGTGTATCTTCTTTGGAGCAATGTCTGTTTAGATCCTTTGCCTATTTTTAAATTGGGTTATTTGCCTTTTTATTATTGAGTTATAGGAGTTCTTTACATATCCTGAAGTCTCTTATCAGATATATGATTTGCAAAATTTTTCTCCCATTCTTTGGGTTATCTTCTCACTATCTTGATGTCCTTTAAGACATAAATTTTTAATATTGTTGATGTTCAATTTATCTGTTTTTTTCTTTTGTTGCTTGTGGCTCACACTTTGAGAAACATTGCTAAAATGCAACTTGAAACTCTGGAAGCCTTGAGATCTCGAAGCATGGTGGTGCTTTATAAGTTACCTTTGACAGGGTCTTCCTCCACTTTGGGGTTTGGTTCCCCCATCCCAGCAAGCCTTGGCTCCTCAGGGCTGGATGCACACAGAGCCCCAGGGACCTTCACTGTGTTTTTGCCCCCTCCTTCTCCTGAGTGTACCACAATAGAGCAGCTGAAATGACAGTTTGGAAATGTCCTTTATTGTGAAAACTCAATGGCCTTTGTCTCTGGGATTTGAAATTTTGATGCAAATATTGGCAGGCAAGAGTTAGGAAGGCGGACTTCAGTAATGAGTCCTTTCGACTCTGCATTGCCTAGATTTTCTCGCCCATAAAATGGAGGAAAATACCTCCATCTCCCCATCTCAGTGGGGTTACTGTGAAGATTCATTAATCTGTATTTGTTGGAAGACTTTGCGATCTTGGCATTACTGAGGCATTACTGAAGCACAAGATATTATTATAATAATAAATGATTTAATAGCATTTAATAGCAGGGAGTTGAGGCGACTAAAGCAAGAATCGGTGGGGGCAGGAAGCAGAGAGGCTTTGAGTTGTGAAAGGGCTGCAGCCTAGAGCTCCTGGGCCCAGACACAGATTTTGATTCTTAGAGGTGAAATTGTGTGATCTCTCATAAAGCGTTTGGGCCATTTCATCTGAATTTAGCATTGCTTTACTGAGTACTCCCTATATGACTTCTGCCGTAAGGAAAGATGACAATCTTTTTTTGAAATAAGCTATATACACATTAAAACAATTAGAAACAATGCAAGACATAATCAAGCGCTGAATTGGATATAGCAAGTGTCAAAAAGAAAGCAGGATGGGGCGAAGAGCGGCATTCTCCTGTTATGGATCCCAGGTCTACCACACACTCGCTGTGGGACTGTGCCTCAGTTTCTTCTTCTGTGACTGCAGCTGTTCCTGTAAGGACTAAGAATAATGGCCAGCACATAGTAAGCACTCAGATGTTGGACCTGTCTGGAATCTTGTCAGTCGCTCACTGCTTTTGCTGGTTATGTAATCTTGGCCAAGTTGCTAGATCTCTCCCATCTTCGATTATCCCATCTGTAAAATGGGCAGAAGGATAGTTACTCACAAGATGGCTGTGAGAATGGAGGGAGACAATGTTTGTAAGTTACATGGCGGGGGCCCTACAAAGGTAAGCATGCACTAAATGAGTTATTACTATCATTAACACTATTACCTGCCCTTGCTGAGGGGTAAGGGGTGTGGTCATGGCTGAGTTAAGTCACTGACCTTCTCTGGAAGCTGGAGTTTGAGGTGGGCAGGAAGGGATTGATAGGATGATTCAGATGACCAGATTCAGATAACCAGAGAAGAAAGCAGGATCAAAGAAAGACAGAAGTCTGAGGATGGACTACCCTCTGGAAGGCAGGAAGGGGCGGGGGCTTCTCAGTTTTATCTCCAGCCCCGAGCGTGGCCGGCTGTATCTGGTAGAGACCTGGCGGGTGTTCACCTCCGACCCGCGTTCCGCAATCTCGACTTTCACCTTCCCATTTGGCCAGTGTAGGGCTTTGCAAGGCTGGAGCAGACTCCCCTCCCTGAGGAATGTGGATCCCTCTTCCCGGGCAGCCTAGGCCCAGCGCGTACCTCCTCCCCCGCAGTCAGGGGCCCAGTTGTCTTCACTCACCCTCTGCTAGGATCCTGTTTCAAAGTCACCTGAAAGCCATGTCCTTCCTCGCCCGCCCTTCCCCTCCCTGTAAATCACCTGGAGCTCGCATTTGCCTGGAACAGGTTTTTTTTTTTTTTTTGACTTGTTTTATTTTTGACAATTCTATAAATGTCGTTTACTATACACACTTGTCTACACCCAGGTATCGAATATCTTGAACCCAGTGGTTCTGATATCAGCGTCCCTTTCCTCCTCCCTAGGAGCTGGTGATAACACTGCCAGTGGGACTTCTCACAGGGTCCCACCCTGGGCTGCTTTTCTCTGGCCTTGTGCTGGGACTGCAACTTTTTCTCAGGACCTTTGTTGATGAATTATTTTGGGATGCTCTTGCTCAAAATCTAGCCTATTCTTATTGAGTTCCCCCAACCCCATTTTCCAGGTATGTACCTTTCCAAGCCCACATGATTACATACAGACATAAAAACGAGACGGATTCTGTCTTCGTTTACAAAAATTGGGTCCTTTGTTACATAGGTTTCTGCATCTCCCCCCACCCCCGCGCCCCATCTAGCGATCTCTAGGTGGACTCCCTCCAAGTTATCAGCTTCTTAATGTCTTTGTCAGCTTCTCCGTGGTTTGGATTTACACCTGTAAAGGGTCACCGAGTTTCGGGGAAGAATTCAAGACATGCCTTTCTGCCGAGGTGACTTGCTCTTGTGGGATCAGGACCCCAAATGGGATTCCAACCAGTAACTCACTTGAAAGCCCACTTTCCTGTTCGTACCGTGGGAGATGTTTGGGCTGTCTGGTACCCTCTCGGGAGGCAGTGATACCAGTTCTGTGACACCTGGGTGACCCCACCACGCGCCTCTTTGCATCTTGGAGCACCTTGGCTGCCCCAGAGCGGCTCGTGTGCTGCGGGGCCGACACCATTAGGCCGCGCGCTCGCCCCACTTGCGGGCGTTAATCATCAGCCGCGCCTGAGCCCGCAGCCGCCGCAGCCTTTACCCCCAGCTCCAGCTCGCAGCGCGGGGAAGTTTCCCCGGGCCCCTGGGAGCCGCCAATTGCTGGATTCCAGTCGCGGCCCGAGTCTCCACCCACTGGAAAAATTCCTGGTCCGCCCCTCCCTCTCTCTTCCCTCCCGCTGCAGCCCGGGATCGGCCCCAACTTCCTGCCGGGCGCTGGGAAGCCGCGCTCGGGCTGGGGTCCCCGGGGGCCGCGCTAGCAGCTGGCCGAGTCGGAGGCCAGGGGGCTGGCCGTGGGCGGGAGCCGCCCGCAGCCTCAACCCCTTCCGAAAGCGACTTTCAAACTCGCGCCCGCGTCGTCGCGCCACCTGGGCGGCCGTGCACGCCGTGCGCGGGACCCGGCGGGCGGCCACAGCTGGGTGAGTGTCCTTCGCCTCTCCTCTCTCCCTCCGCCAGTGCAGCCGGCGGAGTGGCGGTGCCCAGGGTCACTCTGAGCTCCCTACCGTCTCGGGGCCCCCGCTCGCTCCCCTGCGGGGTGAGGACGAGGGCCCGGGGTTACACGTTGGCTCCCGCTAAGGCGACCCTCCGGCCCAGGGCTGGAGCGCAGGAGGCTGGTACAAGGAGACATTGTCTGTCCTTCAGCCCCCACCCTGGAAACTAAAGCAGCGGATGAGCCGCGTGCCTCCGAGAGCCTCAGTTTGAAACCCGGGAAGCCCGCGAGGCTGCGACCACCCGCTGCCCTGCGCTCTCGGGCGCCCGAGGTCTGGTTCTTGCCCCAGACTGTGAGCCCCGCGGGGTGGACTCTCCTGGGAAGGACCCGAGTCTCTGGTCTTGGGAGCCCAAGAGGCGCCAGCAGCCTGTTCCGGGTTGTGCCACACGGTGCTGGCTCTTGGGAATCTCAGCTCATGTCCTGGAGGGATTAGAGGGGTGCCAGAAGTGGGAATTCGGGGAGCAGAAATCACAGAGGCCACTGTCTGCCACCGTCTGCCTTGACCTTGCCCACTCCTGAAGTCGGTTTGATTGATTTGCTCTCAATCGCAGCCCTTTGATTCGGAAAGCTAGGATAAGGCATGCAAGCTTGAAAATTTCGAGACGTTTTTAGGTAGCTGCTTTTGCTCTCTGGAGCTGCTTTTGAAAACAAAAGGAAGAACGGTGTGGGAAATGTAATGGTGGGAGGCTGGAGAGGTGTGGCCCGGGGGCGGGGCGGCGTTAGGTCACTCGCTAAACTGTTGGCAGAGGAAGGGGGACCGTCCCCTGCTCTGGGGCCCCCAGGAGGCAACCCAGACGGTATCACCCTGCAGGGAGCTCTGGACTGGAGGTTCCCAGAGTCTTCCCAGCCCGGCCTTTCATGCAGCCCAATCACACCCACCTTGCTCAAGAAATAATATAAGCAGGGAGAGTAGTGACAGCCACCTCCCCCCCCTCCCGCCACCCCCCAACTCACCTCCTCCAAATCACCTGCCGCCCTTCAGGAAAGTGCCTTTGCAGCCCCTCCTCTGCTCGGTCTGGAGTGGAATCCTGAGTGACTTAGCTGGGAGTACTTTACCCCGACCATCCTCAGCAGAAAACCTAGGGAGTAAGGACCCAAGGAGTAAGTATACCCCTTCTCTTTGTTCTTCGCCCTTCCCTGTGGTCCTGGGCTGCCTCATCTCCTTTTACACCTGCTGATAATACTCTGCTGCTCCCACTCCCTTCCTGGAGGGTTGGGCAGCCCCTTGGCTCCCTGGGTATCTGTTTTGGGGATGAGACAAATCAAATAATTGAAGCAGAGGGAGGCGTTTGTGAAGAGCTTGGGGGCTTTTATTAGAAATGGCATAGCAGGGAATGGAAAGAGCACTGGCCTGGGAGTCCAACACGGGATTTTGCCTGAGTTTTGGTCCTGGCTCTGCTGCCTCAAAGATTGAGAATCACCTGGGTTGGAAGGCACCTCACATTAGCCTACTCCATGTACGTGAAGGCAGAAGAACCCAGAGATGGGAGGTGATTTGAGCCTGATCCCTGTTCGCCAAATAGGGACCAGAACTCAGATTTCCTCACTCTAATTGATACTTTTCCCCACGTGACTTGGGTAAGTCACATATCTTTTCTGACTCAGTTTCCATGTGAATAATGTGGAGTACTTACTTGCCTGCTCTTCCTCATAGAGGCTGTGGCGAGGATCAAATGAAGCCATCCATACATGTGGAAAGTGCTCCGTAAACTATACAAAGTAAAAGTTTCACTGTGGCTAGGAGGGGCCCTCAAGGGCTTTATAATTTACTGGCTACGTCCCACATGTGCCACAGGAGATAGTAGATAGTAGGAGCCAATGGTGAAAGTTTATACTCCTGGTCTGTAATATCTCAGCTCCAGAGTCAACATTTGCCTTACCAAATCCACAACTACCCCAGAGTCACTGTGTTTACACTGGAGGAGGCCAAAGGCCATGGCCTGGTGATCAGGGTTGGAGGGGAAAAGGAACTGTCTTCCAGACTGGAGGCTCGCCCCTTTACCCGCCCTCCCCAACCTTGTGAAGGCTCTGGCTCCAAGCCTGGAGGGTTGCTACAAGTCCAGGCTGGTGCTGACCTAGGAGGGTTAATTGTGAAGCCATCCAGCTATTTTCTGTTGTGTTGTGTTTGGGGCTGAGGGGACTCTGGGTGTTGGGAGGGTGTTGCCTTTGCAGCTGCACTGAGGGCTCTCTTCAGTTCCTCATTTGCCCCCCTCCCCCATCCTAGGCTGCCCACTCTGGCCCAGGCGGCTGCTCTGTCCCTCCTCTCTGGCCAGCTGCACATCCATTGGCCTTTGTTCCAGGTCTACCCTCCCCAGCAGAAGCCCTCAGGCTGGGTCCCTGGCTGCTGGAAATCAC